GGTCTGACCTGGGAAAACGGGGAGGAATAACAAAGCAAATGGCCCTGAGGAGCCCTGAGGAGCTGCTGCCACATGGGCTGGAGAGGGAAAAAGGAAATATGCAGTATTAGAGGACATGGATCTGTTGGGAGGCAAATGCAAACAAGTGGCAAATATTAGGAATCCAGACATTTTTCCCCTGTAACTATGAGCAGACACTTCCCACTGGTATGTGTTACAGCAAGAAGGTTCATACGGAAAATAAGAAGCATTCTTTAATTCCCCATTTCTTCTTCTGAATTTTTTTTTGCTGTTTTTAGCTATTCTCTTTTTTAAGTCCCAGTGGTTCCCTAAGCAGATCTTAAGGTATCAGCAGAGATCTGACATTACTTATGTCTCCCTTAATGAGCCCATTGATTCTGTAATCCCACCAACAGCATCTCTTCCATTTCCTGATCCTGTAATGCATTGAAGAGTTTATCTGTGCCGTAGCACACCTAACCACGTAAAAAGAAATTGCTAAGTTTGAAGTAACTTTTCAGGTAGTGGGCCAGTTTTCCCTATCAACATGTTATTGCTCTGGGCCTCCCTACGCTCATCCTTGAATTCCAGACCCTGGCACGGTTACTATCTATGGCTTTTTAAAAGCCTGCTGACTTTCTCCCATCACCAGCTGGGCTCTAGAGGCAGGCACTGTGCTGGCCAAAGTCTTGCAACTCACTCTCTGCAATTTAGATCCACTGCTTGTCATTAGAAAGGCCTGCTAGTTTTAAATCGATGTAGCATCTTTGAGCCCCATGAATTATATATACACTATATTGTATGTGATGGTAGAAACGCAGCTGTAGAGAATGCTAAGAAGAAAAAACCAGTAAAGAACTTCAGCAGAAAATGGGTAAACTCTGAGCATACCCTGGGTGCTATGCTGAGAGGGCTGCTCCTGACTCTCTGGAGTCACTGAAGACACTTGGACATGAAGCATAAAGTGAAAAATTCCTGCAGAGATTTTCAGACACCTCTGTCCTGTCACTCTGTGACAGCACGTGAGGCAGCCTTGAAACACCAAATAAAACCTCCAGGGCTTTCTGTCAAAACAAGGGACAGGGTTTGCTAACTGTCGCTTCCATCACCAATCCATACTTGGTGAATCCTAGGATTTTTATTCAGTATTCCTTCCGTGCCATACACTGCAGTCTCCGGGGGAACCAAGAGCGTCTGCCTGGTGCAATCCCTGGGGAACAGCAGGGTGAGGCTCTGCTGCCTGGTTTGTAATTATCACTGCTGCTGCTTCACCTGATGGCTCCCGCTGCGGGGCTGCCCCCGTGGCTCCAGGGACAGCACTGTGGCGCCTGAGGGACGCTGAAGAAGGCACCCTCAGCTGAAATGATGCAAAGGAGCAGCTTCCTGAGGATCACAGCACAGGGCAGTGGCGGAGCCAAGGCCGGGAGCTGGGCCAGCAGGCTGTGACAGTAACCTTCAGCAAGCAGCCCCAAAAAGCTGTAGAGTACATCCAGGGAAGAAGGAGAGGACAGCCTTCACCTCAAAGTCCTTAATTTCTGTTGAAAAAGTGTGTACTTATACATGCTACATGTTTTTTAAATGGCCTTTTCTGAATATCTTTCTAATATAGTGGTTCTTGGCTGTTTTTCTTCATTCATATTAATTCTAAAGATGAAAAAAATCCAACTTTGAAAGCATTTCTTCCACAGACCCTTTTCGATACCCCCTTCAGTTGGAGTAAACTGAAGGTGGCTGTGTGTGGCTGTGCCACGCAGCTCGGCGTGGGATCTCTTACACCCTGTCGGATGTCCCTCAGACTAAGCCAGGTCAGGGGGGATCACAGAATTGTCAGATTTGGAAGGGACCTCTAGAGATCATCTGGTCCAACTCCCCTGCTAAAGCAGGATTGCCCAGAGCACATTACTCAGGACTGCGTCCAGAAAATTTCCAGGGAAGGGGACTCCACAGCCTGTGGATGCGGTAGAAACGGCTCTCCCACCACAGCTGCTCAGCTGCCCTTGTCTGTAGGCCATCAGGAGCTCCTAGCTGACCATGGAGTCTCTCTGTGCTTTCAAATTATAGTTCCTCATGTGTTTTCACTTTGCGAGGTGTCGGTCAGTCTTTCTTCCCCCTTGCCAGGAAGACAGAGTTAGGACCTTTTTCACTGTCAGAAGCAGACTTCCATTTCAGACCTACAGAGATGAAGGGAAGCCATAAAGAAATCCCTACCACAACTCAGGGCACTGAGTTTTAAAACCCTCAGAAAAAATAGTAAGTACTAGGTATGGCTTATGTAGGCTTTGCACAAGCTTCCTAGAACGTAAATCCAGAAAAGAATAAAAAAGGACCACAGGGAAGAAAATGCTTCTGGCTCCATTTCATCCAGCTCTTCACCATCCTTTTCTAGAAAACCACCCTTGCTCACCTTGGATGGTCGTTCAAACAGCTGATCCTGTATCCCTTCACGGTTTTGCAAAAATGGCACCATGCCATTTACTTCCAGCGGGGAAGCAGGGGGAACCAAAAGAGCAAGGGAATGAAGTCACTCAGCTCTCTGTGTGAAGTTCCCACTACACATGAGGACATGGGCACAACAGATGTGGCAGAGAACACTTTGTCCCAACCTCCTTGATCGCACAGCACCCAGGTGTCCAAGCATCCCTAGATGTAAGAGCTATTTTGCATGAATATAACCACCTTTCAGCATTATTCTTCTTCAGTTGGTGAACATTATGTCTAAAGCTTTCCCTGTTGAGCCCTGCAAGGGCAGGTTGACCAAAGCATGTCTTGAGTTCATGATGAATCTATAGATGTCTTCGGGTTAAAACAAAATAATAAAATAAAAAAGAAAAGAGAAAACGGGAATGTTTAATTTGTCACTTTCAAAATTCAGTCCTTTAATATTTCATTTTAGGATGATTATCCATTTCCAGAGGAACTTCAAGGTTATTCAAGCCACATTTTTAAATGTGCAAAAAGGATTGAAACCAAACATGTGGGAAAAAAATTCAATTTGTCAAAACACTTTGAAAGTAGTAATTTCAGGTTGACCTCGAGTCACTTTCCTCCATTAACACTTGGACTTCAAGTTGACTGAAAAGTCAAGCTGAAAGTCCACCCTTTCCATCACGGCTGCAGATGCTCACACCAAAAAGAAAGAGGGCACAATAACTCGTCTGTTCCCTACAGCTGTGAAGAATTAAGTCACCTGCCCTCTGCCTTTTGGATCTCTGTATCTCCTTCCTTTGGACTCAGTGCTTGTAAGAAGAATGGGTGAAATATAAAGGATTGGTGAAATGTAGCAGAGCACCGGTATGAAAGTGCAAAAATTGCAAGTTCAGCCATGTGCCAAGTCTTATGTATTAGTATTTTTGTGCACTTTTTCCCAAGACACATTACCAGGTTTTGGTTTTTCAAATTTCCAAAGGACAACTGGCTCTGAGTATACACATTTGCACAAGAGCATTTCGTATTTTCTCTTTTTTATCAAGTTTCCTTCATCTATCTCAAGAGCAAAAATATTACCAAGTGGTGGGAGAACTCACAACATGGCACAATTGATGGAGGCACAGAGTCAAGTTGAGCAACTTATGACTATTGGTCGAGGTTCTGGTCTGACCTTCTGTCTCCATGGCTTCTGGGTGCTGGGCATGTTTATGAGCTGCACTCTGTAAAATGGAATTCACTCCTCCTCCTCCTCCAGCCACAATCTTGGCTTCTGTCTCATTTGTCCTTTCCTCTGTCTCTTCTGGAAGGCAGGAGAGACCTGCAAGTTGAATGATGTGCTCATATTGCTCTTATTGAACATTTGTAATTGTGAATGCAAATGGAACTTCTTACCCATGAACAGAAAAAGGACTAAATTCACTGGATAAATTATTCACAACAGATAATTCAACTCGCTCTCATGGGAGAGTGCAATGAATGTCTGATGATGTTAAAAAAACCCCACAACTAATTCTTCCAACCAGTGAAGTCAATGGCAAAACCTTTTACTGACTTCAAAGGGAGCAGAACCTAGCCCCAAGCCAGAGAGCCCACAGACGACTTCCCTTTAGTGCTTCTCGCTTGCATTTAGAGCTAAAGCCCAGACAAGCATTTCTGTTTTGAGGAGCCCAGACTAATGCTGTCCAGCAGAGTCGGGCTGCCAGGGCACACGCATTATTACAGCTGTGGTTGAAAGCAGGTCAGGTCCCCAGCCACAGTGCAGAGCACTGTCCCCAAGCCGAGATAGCCCGGACTCAAGAGAGAGCCACGGTAGAGGTGGTGTTTAGTGAGTTTGGAGCTCAGGGCTGGTTAATTCGGCCAGGTTTGTCTCATTTGGAGAAAAGGGGACTGAGGAGTGACCTCATTGCTCTCCACAGCTCCCTGAGGAGGGGAAGTGGAGAGGGAGGTGCTGATCTCCCTGGTACCCAGTGACAGGATGTGTGGGAATGGTTCAAAGCTGCTCCAGGGGAAGTTCAGACTGGACATTAGGAAGCATTTCTTTATGAGAGGGTGGTCAAATGCTGGAAGAGGCTTGCTGGAGAGGTGGTTGATGCCCCAAGCCTGTCAGTGTTGAAGAGGCATTTGGCAACGCCCTTAATAACATGCTTGAACTTTTGCTCAGCCCTGAAGGGGTCAGGCAGTTGGGCTGGGATGATCATTGCAGGCCCCTTCCAACTGAACTGCTTCGCTTTGCTTCTACTCTATTCTATTCGATTCGATTCGATTCGATTCGATTCGATTCTATTCTATTCTATTCTACTCTATGTTCTATTCCATTTTGCATCTGGGATAGATTTGCAGCCAGTGAGGGGGTTTGTAACCACGGTGCCACCGGTCACCCGGATGTGGCTGTGCTGCTGGCCATCATCGCTGGTGGCAGAGCACCATGGGCATGATCTGGGTGCCCCAGCTTGTGCCACTGGTCACCGGGCAGTGGGGACACGCGGCCTTGGGCACTGGGGAGCAACAGGAACACGGGGACGGTGTGAGTCGCCCCGGTGAAGCGGGAGAGGGGGAAGCAAGGGATGGGAGCGATGTCGGCATCCTTCACCCCCGCCCCCGGGGGTATGAACCTCCTGGGTTCAGTCCGGGTGTCCCATGTCTCCACACGTCCATTCCTGCCCTGTGGCGCGCTGTCACCTGCACACTGTGTCGTGTGTGTGTCCCTCACCCCCTTCTCGTGTCGTCCCCCCCCACCCCCCACCTTCTCTGGGCGCTGCTGGTGCTTCGCAGCGCTTCCCATGGCGTGGTTTCAGTCACGCAGCCCCAAGTCGCGGGGGGACTGTGGCGGGAGGACACAGCAGCGGTGCCAAACCTCCCCTACACACCGGCTGAGCTCTGCTTCCTCCACGGGTGCCCGGCTGCGGGGCCCTCCCGGGGCACCCGGTTTTGGGTTGGAAAAGGGCAGAAGGGGCGACGGATCCGATGGTTCCGTGACGTGAAGCGGCGGGGAGCGGGGCCGGGCCCCGAGGAGAGCGGGGCCGCCCGTCGCCGCCCGGCCCCCGGCAAGCGTGGGGACGGCGTGGCCCTCGCCCGCCCCACGGCGGGGTGCCACCCCCCCACCCCCCCGGCGCCGTGCGGCGACGCGGCCCTGCCCACGCGTGGCGGGGGGGGCGGGGGGAGCGGCGGCGGG